TCTCTGAACTCTTTGCTTTGTTACAAGGCCTCTTATTAGTTCTTTTCTAGCTATAATTTTTTTCTTAAAGCTTTTGCCGAATACTATTTCTGCTATTTTTTGCTCGTTAAAGCTTACTTTTTCTTTTTCTGCCTTGTTAACAATAGCTAAGCAGCCTTCTTCTTCAAGCTTGTTCCAAGTTGATTGTAGCTCAGTACATTTGGCTAGGTGATCTTTCTCGGAAGCAAATCTTACAAGTGTCATCTGTATATAAATCTTTTTTTCTCTGTCTCAGGATTTGCATTGTTGGAAGTAGACCATTAAGACGCTTGATTTTGAAAATCTAATCTTTGTATGCTTGGGAGCTTGTGCATTTTCTACCCTTTACTTTGCTTATATCTTTCCAAACCTCTCTCCAGTCTATTTCGTTTTCTTTGTAGGTTGTCTCAGCCCATTTGTTTATACTTTTTAGATCTTTCCATTTAGCATCAATACTTAGATCAGTAAACTGTGTAATGAAACTTCTCATTGCATCGTCTACTCGGATCTCTTGCCATCTTAGCTCAGTGATTGATTGTTTGTTCCAAGGCCATTTCAGATCAAGAAGTAAGGAACTGTTTACTTCTTTCTTTGTAAGTTTGTCAGCCTTTTCATTATCTTGCACCCCAGTATGTGCTTTAATCTTATTAAACCACACTCTTAGTTCTTTAAGTTCAATTTGTTCTTAATATTTGTTCTAAGAGGCAGAGATTTTTTCTTTTTACCATATTACTTGGCTTGGTTTTATTTTGGCTTGCTTGTACTGCCTGAATCGATACTGCACTGTCTGTATAAATGTTTACTATAGCTTTGTTTAGTGCAGTCAGTAAGGCTGACCATATTGTGCCTAGTTTAGCTCTAGTTGACAACAGTCAATTTTTTATAGCTCCTTTAAATTCTGCTATATAGTCTTCACTTCTTTTGGCTCTATTTTCTGTAACAGCTACCCATCCAATTCCTATTTTCCTTCTTTTTGGGCTCTCTGTTGGATTCAATAAAGACCTATCAGTATAGAAGGATATTTTTTTGTATGGCTTTAGTTGTCCTTCAAGAGCTTGATCAATTATTTCTTTTTCTATTAGATAGATAGAAATTTCTTTTACTAGGACCTTATGCTTCTCATCGTCATCACTTTTGAGCACCTCTGATCTAAAATGTGTATCTACTAGACAGCTTACAGGGACTACTAACTCCCGCACATGTACTTGGGAGTCTACTTTTTGGACCAGGTTTGGGTTTATTACAACTGATCTGCTTTTTAGCTTTTTCTTATACAGATATATTTCCAGTGTTGTGTTCTTATTTATGTTCTATTCACTTCCCAATCACTTCTCGAATCTAACTGTACTGTTATCTGGATTTGAATCGTCTTTCAATGCTCTATTATGTAGGTTTTGTGCCCTTCTTTTTACTTATTTTTCTGATCTTCAACTCATTCTTTCTGTTTCTTAACAAAATCCACTCTTTTTTTCTTTTGTCACTATCTATTATTGAACATGTAACTTTTGGGCTAAGAGTGTTTATTGCTTTGGTTTTGAAATCGGGCTTGATTATATGGTTCTCTTTATCTTCCAGAACCTTCTTCTCGATATTTCTAAACCATCTGAGCACCTTACTGGCAGCTTTGTATTGTTTATATTGTTTGATCTGTTTCCACATAAGTAATTTGCTACTTGTTTCATTGCATAATTGTTCTAGCACAAAGATTTTTGCCTTTTTTCTTGTACAAAACTCTTGATCTGTTTTGGTTCTAGCAAGTTTAATATCTCAGTACCTTCTTCTGTAAGTTCAAGGCTTTTTTCTATCTCTTATGATCTAAAACTTAGGTTCATTTGTTTTATCTCTGTTACAATTTTGTAAATTAAATTTTGTTTGAGACGTATTTTCCTTAATCTTGCTAGTTCCAGGCCTAGAATGCATTTTGGGCTTTTGCAGTCTATTTGTACTTGCCGAATTCTAATCTATACAGCTTCATTAAGATCATCTTGGCTGTTTATTTGTTTTCTGAGTTCAATTACATTATGTACCATTTGATTTTGCCAAATTGTTTTTAGCCCTGCTATATTTTTGTATACTAAAATAGCATTGGCTGTTGTAATGGCCAGGTCAGACCTGTTCTTTATCAGCTGTAGTAGAGGACTTTGCAACCTGTCATACTGCTTTCTTAAAAGAATGCTATGTTATAGCCTGTACTCTAATCTCGGTAAAAGAACTCTGTTGTTGATATATATTAGCTAAGCTAGTATTGTGTTTTTCCTTGTTAGAGCTTTTATTATTGTATTAATTTCCTTCCTGGTGATATTCAGTGCATGAAACTGGCTGGATTTTTTGAATAGCCATACTCCCAAAAATCTTGTTGGTTTACTTAACTTTTTCTCTGTTACTTTTTCTTTTGTTAGACCAATTTCTATACACCTCGTCTCTTGTTTTCTTTTTCCTCTCCCTATTACCAAGAGCTCTGATTTTTATTGTTTATTTCGATATTATTTATTCTGTAAAATTCTTGAGCGATTTCAATTGTTTCTTCTAGCTTCTGCTTACTGTTTGCTATAAATATGGTGTCATCCGCATAAGCAATAACTGGAATCTTCAGACTTTGTTGAGTAGTTAGGTTCTTTCTGAGATTGCTTGGCCACTGTACTTCTAACTTATAACCTCACTCAGAATTCTCTTGTATTTCAGTTAACAGAGGGTCGTAGAAGATTTACCACACTAAAGGGGATATCACTTCTCCTTGATCTATACCGTCATCTGCTACAAATCTCTCTGTTATACCTATACTTGTTAGGATCTCTATCTCTCTGCTTTTAAATAGGTTTATGATGAAGCATACTGTAGTTTCAGGAATTTTAATTTATTGCATAGCTAGATTTAGCATTCTCAGTTCCACTGAGTCATATGCTTTTTTTATGTCCTAAAACATTATTCATAATTCTTTTTTCTTTTCTTTTGCCTTTTTTATTAGACAGCCTACATCAGCAAATTTATAAGACCGTAATATTTCGTAATATTTTACAAACCGTAAAAAAGCTGTAATATTACATAAGAAATTTCGAAATATTGTGAAATATCAATTTACAAAATATTACGTAAGATATTTCAGAATATTTTGAAATTTCTTACGTAATATTACGGCTTTTTTATATTAAGTAAAAAATTTTGAAATAGTTTGTATACATGCATTAAGGCTAGTAAAAGTTATAATAGTTTATTATCGTCATCAGCCCCTTCACATCCTAACCCAAAACGTAGCTCTACGATTCTATCAGATAGTTGGCTTAATTCAAGAACTTATTAATAATAATCATTTATCAGGTCCACCAATCCCAACAAAAAAAAATTCATCAAATAGTTCATCTTCACTTTTGACTGCACCACTACATCATAATTTTCAACCATGTTCGTTTCATAATAGTCCTTCACTATGTTCTCCAATGAAAAGATGTTTGATTAATGATGTTGATCCTTTGTTTTCGGTTAAACCACCATCTTCAAGATCATCCAATAGTTCAAATAGTAATCTCTCTTCACATTCACCAACCCCCACAAATAAGTTATATTTTCGGTTTTTGTATCACCCATGACTCGCCAACCCGGATTTTAAATCCAGTATCATTTTTCAAGTTATTTTTTCAGCATGATCGGTATATAAAAAAATATAATTTTAATTCGTCCAATTTTTATTTACTGTAATATTAATATAATATCTATGTCATAAATTAAATTACATCGTTGAATAGTAAATATTTACAAAAGCTACTAAAAGTTTTAAATAACAATTTTAACACTTTGACAATAATGCTAGCAAATAGAATTGCTATAATATCTGATAAAGTTTTAGCTGGTACAATAACCTTCGGTTCTAACAAGAAATCAAAATGTCTATCAATTGATAATTAAGATATGAATTCTCTTACACTTATCAGCAACGCGCGTGTATCTATCAATATTATTAAAATTTCGTTTGAATGCTTGCCCAATATGCTTGGTGTGTGCGAAAGTTTATTGGAAAGACTGTTCTTGTCAACCATTAAAACTTGACAAGAAATATAAAAAGGCTCCGGATATCAAATTAGCTTCTATATAATAAATATATTACACGAATAAGTGCTAATATTAAAAAAGTTAGATATGATCAAGAATTCGTCGATTGGACTAAAGTCGAGATTTCAAAAAATCAAGACTTAATTAATATTTGTCAAGAATGTGTTAAAAATTATAATCAACAAAATCAGTAGATCTAACAATTAAAGGTTCTCTAAAATCTTTATCATCCATGACAAATACTTTTGAATTATCTGACTAGTATTTGACTTGTCTGAAGTGATCGCAACCGATTCAGAACTTAATAGTAAAAAAGATCCTAAATTGGATACTAATAACATGAAAGAAGAAGCTATTAATACGAAAGAGCCTTTTATAAAATTGAAAATATATATAAATATATGAAATATTACCTTTTTGTACATATCCAAGTCGGTGTATAGCCCTTCAAATTGTAAGACTAATGTTACGTCCCAATCTCAGATTGTAATTCAAACAAGTACCAGTCAAGTTTTTCTTTCATTAAACCTTTAAGTTAATTTATATCATTCATAACGTGGTTTTCTTGAAAGCGATAGAAGTTTTTCAACACAACCATATCTTTGAAAATGTACAAGAACCTAACTTGTGCCAACACCGATAGGCCTTCTAAATTTTTTTCTAGCAAATGATCATCTGATTTTAAATTATTACATAATACCGGCAGTGATCATATAAAGCTGATATAAAAAGATAAATTATTTGATTTTTTTTTTTTGCTTTTGTCTTATTTTTTATACAGTATATCTGATATCTAATATTTTTGTATTTATTTTTTTATTTATTTCTGTATTTATTTTTCTTTATAGATAGTAGATTCATCATCGGTGTTGTCCGTTCGGTTCTTCTTTTGTCAGCCGGTGTGCATTGTTGGTGTCGTCCAGTTGGTGCTTCTTTCGCTAGTTGGTGCCTTGCGTCGTTGGCATCGTCCTGTTTGGTGTTTTTTTTTTCATCGTTGGTATCGTTAAGTACGGTGTTTCTCTTTCACCGAAGGTTGGTTTCTTGCGTCGTTGGTGTTGCGATTCACTGGAATCGCTCTTGTTCATCGTAGGGTATCTATGTATATTTGTTTGTTTTATACAGTTTAGTTCTTGTACTAACAATACTGTATTTATTTTTCTTTAAATCCATTTCAGGCTTTTTCGTTGGTGTTCGCTTGCATTTAGTTAGTCTGTTTTTCTTCATTGGTTTCGTCTATTTCGGCACCTTTTCTTTCGATGTTTGTCATTGGTGTCTAATTTTGCTTCAGGCATACATTTGTTTTTTGTTTTTTTTTTCATTCTGTCATTTTTGTTCGTAACCTCATTTGTATTTTTCGTGTAGTACTTTGAGTTTCTTTTTGTTTCTAGATGTTTCTGAACTTTCTTGAAGCATATGATGTTCCAGGTCAATTTCCAAGTTGGGTTTTTTTCTTGCCTTGCTTGTCATGCTGGTGCGTCGTCGGTAGTAGTTTCATGTATCATGGATCTGTGGTGCTGTTTTTTGATGAATACGTTTGCTTGTTGAAAATTTTGCATGCTTTATTGGGATTGTGATGCGTTATTATTGTGATTCTATAGTTTGTATCCTGGTGGTATCTTTTTGGGACCGTGTTGATGACATTTTGATGTTTTGTTGGATGTGTTTGCAACATCGTTTGGTTAGAATAGTTAGGGTTAGATTGTTAAATAGGATAGATTATGTATTAGTTGATATACAAAACTATTTGTTACATTCGTTATGATAATAAAAATTTCGTTATGATAAAAATGTTCGTTATGATAAAATAAATTTTTTTATTTTAGTACGTATTTAGTTATTTTTAATAAATTGAAAAAATATAATATTTACATCATATATCGATTATGACTACGTGATATAGGGGTGCGCCGTGGTGCTGTTTTAAAAATTCCTATAATAAACTGCGTAATATTTCGTAATAAGGTATTACGAAATATGCCACGTCGATCTATAATACTTGCACAAGTTTTCAGGCCGTAATAACTTATGTAAGATTACAGTTATATATTTTGCTGATGTAGAAAGTGTATAGGTAATGTGGTGCCTTCTCCTAGTAAGCCTGAAAAATTCCTCCCACTCAGTATCTTTTTCTCTCCTATAATCTTGGCTAATCTGTTTATTACAATTCTTACGACTATTTTTCTAAAAGACTCTAGAAGTAAGATTGGCTGGACATTGTTGAGCTTATAACACCACTCTTCTGTTTTAGGTATTGGATACAGAATACCTAGCTTCCACTTCTTTGGTATTGTGCCAGACTTTATGCAACTTGAGGCGAGCTTAATAAAGATCTTTTTTGCAATTTTTTCTGCCTTTTTAATTAAAGGATAGGTGATTCCCGATGTCCCTGGAGCTGACTTGGCTTTGACTTGTGCAAGGGCACAGTCCCACTCTGCTATATTGACGTTATCTGATATCTTTGAATACCATGTCTCATCTATATTTTTTCTTGGAGAGTATTGTTTTGCCCACCTCTCCGGCAAAATACTTGGGTCTGTCGTGTTTCTCTCATGAAATTGTGTTCTTTAACCTCTTCAAGAACCTCTTTTGTCTCGTATAGAAGTTCAGACTTTTCTTCTATTTCTTTGGTGACTCAATCAATTTTAATTTTTCTACAATATTATTACGGACACTTTTTAAAAAGTTGTACAGAGCTAAATATGTAAGATATTAAGCTAAAAATCAAATTATAAATTCTTTAAATCTATATCTTTTAAAGAAAAAAAAGTTTGCAAAATT